GCCCCGGCACGGCCCCAGCGCGGCCCCGGGGCTCGGCTCTGCACCCACCCCCGGGTTGCACCCCTGCTCCTTGCGCCCCCCGTTGCACCCGCATTGCACCCCGCCTCGTTGCTGCCAAGTCTGGCACCCCCCCCCCGTTGCACCCATCTTGCACCCCCGTCTTGCGTTCTTCCTCGTTGCACCCCAGTCCTGCACCCCCCTGGTTGCTTCCCGGAATTGCTCCGCCCTATTGCACCCCAGACCGGAAATGCATTTGGGGGTCGGGGGGGGGGCAGGCTGTGGGGCGCGGTGCAGGGTTGCAGGCCCGGCAGCACCGGGAGAGCCCGGGCAAACCCGGCGTTTGCGCCCCGCATCCCCGGTGCCGAGCGTGGCGGCTCGGGGGGCCGCAGCCGGAGCAGGCCCCGGGCAGGATCCGGCACCCGCCTTGCCCCTCCCGGCCGGGGCTCTGCTGCTGGGGAGCTGCCGGTTTCGGGGCAGCGGCCGGTCCCCGTGGGTGGCTGCCGCTGCCCAGGGTTGCGGGTGCTCGGGCCCCGGGAGCCGGGGGAAACTCCTGCCCCCGTCCCCGTCGCAGCAGGCGCTTTGTCATTGCCGGGCCCTGCCGCCGCTGAGGGACGTGCAGGTGGGGCCTCGGGAGGACGCGGCCAGGCGCGGTGCCGCGAGGGTTTTTTGCTCGGTGGTCGGTGTAGGCGGTTATTTGCCTTGCGACCTCCGTTCCTTCCTCGGCCATCACCCACTGACAGCAGCGTTTCGTGGGTGCTGGGGTGCTGCTACGGCGGCACGAGCTGTGCACCCGAACGGGGCAGCAACACCTGCCTTGGAGACCCTTCAACGCCGGCCTCTCCCCCCGGCTGTGCCGCCGCGTCCACGGGGTCCCTGGATCTGACACCACAGCAGGAGCTGGGGGCCCTGGATCCCAAAACCCAGGGTATGGTTTCACCCATAGGGGTGCTTGGGGGAGTCTCCCTTCTTGCTTTTTGGGCTGTTCTCACCCTTTCCCAGTGCGATGCTGCAAGGTTGGAGCCACTGGCAGGCAGATCTCAAAGGGGCAGGTTTGAGCTGACGCTCCGGGGGGTTTCATGGAGGGAGTTGGATGCGGATCCTCTGGCTGTCCCGGTTCCCCTGTGGCCCCCTTGTCTGTGCATGTTGCTTCGGTCGGTGCCTCGGCTCCAAAGTGAAGTGAGTTACTTCTGTTCACTCGGGGCACTGGAAGCTGCTGGGCTGTCAAAGGTGATTTTGCAGCTAATTTGGAGGCTTCGTTGTGCTGCAGCTGTGCTCCCTGGGAGGGTTTCCCTTGGTGCCAAGTGTTGCAGGGACAAAAACATCCTTCCTGAAGTGCCCCAGGGGCAGAGGGAGGACACCCTAAAATGCTTTTCACCCAGGAGATGATGGTGCTCCTTCTTTTGAGCTATTTTGCTGGCAGTCACCACTCAGTGCTCAGGTCTTATGCTGGTTCACCCAGCAGACCCACGCCAGCCTTGGGGGATGGGGAGCTCTGTGGCTCTGGGACAGTGACCCTAAGCACCAATCCTTTTATGGGGTGACTTCATCCCCGCTGTTTGCATGTTTAATGGCCCTTTTTGGCAGTCCCATGTCGGGGTGGGAGGTGGCAGTGCCACAGGTAGGCTAGTCCTGCTCTAGGCCTGCCATGCGCTGCTAGCCTGTTAATAGCAACACAGGCTGCATTCAAAATGGAAAAGTAATTTAGCACCTTTTAAAAAAAACAAATAAGCTTTAAAGGGTGATGGAGCTTTATCCCAAACCTGCTGGGCTGTTTCACCTGCACAGGGCTGGAAATCACTGGGGATGGTCCTCATCCTCTTGCAACAGCTCTTTTGCCAGCCCAGCTCCCCTTCCCACACGTGCTTCCTCTTCTCCCAGTCATGTCTGCAGCAGTTGGGGCTCAGCATGGGCTTCTGTGGGGTTCCTGCCTCTGCAAGTAAACGCTTCATACCTGGCAATTTTGCTGTGTGCAAGACCCTACCTGCAAGACCTGTGCACCAAGACTTTCTGCTTAGCCAGTATTGCTGGTGTAGGCAAAAGTGACATCCAGGAATTACAGCAGCTCTCAAGGGAAGCTCTCTGTACGGGGGCTGAAGCTGGCTTCAAGGTCTGCTGGTGCATCAGGAGGTCTGCGGTGGGGTGTTTAACACTGTTGCAGGGCAGTCAGGCTCAGGGTGCTGAGCAAGGAGCTCAGTCTCTGCTGCAGTTTTACCTCTGTCTGTGAAGTTACTGGGGAAGTTCAGGTTTTGTGGCAGATGCACACAAAAAAGAGGCACTGACCTTCGAGAAAACATCCTGTAAATAAGGACACTTTGGGGACAGCTAAATAACATGACACACAGAAAATCCCAACTCAACAGGAACTCTATGAGAAGTCTTTGAGCCGTCTGGCTTTAAGGTGATGTAATGGGAGCATTAGAAGGGGAAATAGCTGTGATTTGGGCTTTGGGGAGGGGAATAACCTGAACTGGAAAGTATCAGATTTGGTGTTGTTGGAAAGATCTCCCAAGAAATCTCTGTGGGTGCAGGTGATGCTCCCCAGCCTGCAGAGTGATGCTGACACTGGGGCTGGAGCTGCTTTGGGTGTCTTGGCACTATCCTCGTCTTCCAAGATTTTTAGCTGCACCTGGCTGAAAAATGGAATCCAGTTATCTGGAAGGTTGGGTGGTTTTCTACAGCAGCCCAGAGCTGTGGCCATACTTGGCAAGGGCTGTGCTGAAGGCAGCAACGACTCAGGGGATGACTCCTCCTGGGTGACCTGGCTGGGGTTTTTATTTTTTAGGGCTCATTTTTTCTTTCCCTGGCTGTTGGGAGCTGAAGCTTGAAGTCCTATGTGCAAGGAGGGGTGAAAGGCTGTAAAACACATCTAGTTTTGGTTTTAACCTGAACCTGGTGGGCTTTTAGCTGCCTTTTCCCCAGTCTGGGGGTGATGAGGGTGAGACTTGAGGGCATCAAGAGCCCCTCAACAGGTGCTGGGGCTCAAAACCCATCAGTGCAGGATGTGTTTAGAAAAAGAGAGCATTTGCTGCTTGATTTAACATCGCACATCTTTCACCCGCATTAGAGAGCCTTCCAAGGGAGCGGAGCTGCAGAGACTGGGTGCTGGGGTGTCGGACCTACATGGTGTGGGGGACTGGGGCAGCATCCTGCGCTTAAGCCCTGCTCAGAATGTGGTTTGAATCAATGCTGCAAGAGGAAACCATATCAACCTCGTATGTGGCATCAGGTAGGATGATGGATGCCGTGGCAGGTGGCCAGCTCTCCGACAGTGCTGCCAGTGGAGGCACATCCCGACAGCAGCTCGGAGGACCGCAGAGCTAAGCACCTGCTCCCACCTGTCCCTGGGGAGCCACTGTCCTCTCTGCTGGCCAGCTGACCCATCTTGGCAGGATGCGCTTGGGTGCCTGAGCCTGGGAGGGGAGGTGGCATTTCCAGGTCCTGTGAGGTCTCCAAGGGTTGCTGGGGAGGTAGAGAAGAGAGATGCTGGTGGAGATGCTGAGGAAGAAGCAAGAAGATCTTGTTCTGATGCATTTTCACCAGTCTGGCACCTGCCTCTCCCAAGTAACTCTGGACATGCCCCTTGTGTGGGGTCTGGCAGGGCTAGGATGGGATGGGAGGTGGACGTGGCTTCTTGTGCTGACTGGTCATTCTGCCTCCAGATGCAGAGTCTGGGCTCTCGACAGCTGCCTCCTGAGTTTCATGATGCAGAAGGCAGTAGGTTTTTTGGCGGGGTTTCTTCATTTTTCTGGAAGAGGAGAAGGAGCTGGCTCAGGCACGGTCTTGCCTTGCTGCTGCAAGCTCTGTCAGCATGAGCCAAGAAAAAATGGACAGTGGGTTTTTTCCAGGATCATAGAATCCTAGGGTGATTTGGGCTGGAAGGGACCTTTAAAGGTCA